CAGAATCCCCCCCCCCACCCAACTCCATTTTTGGGAGTTGAAGTCCACTCATCTTAAAGTGGCCAAGTTTGGACAACACTGTCCTAGAGGAAAGGTTGGAAACAAATCTAACATACAAAGAAATAAAAATATTTTTCATCTTACATGTATTCCTTTTGTTGTTGTTTGAATTACTTCCTACAAATTATGTGCTGAAAATCGTACTCAAGGTCAACTAACAAGTCATCTCTATATACAAATGCCCATATGTGCAGTAATTTTGAAAATCTATTATCTTCCCCTTTTTTAAAAAAACAAACAAACCTACAATATTGTGTGAGTTTGAGGTGCTAGTGTCACACTACTTCTGTGAGCAATTACTGGTATGACTATCAGAACTAATGTATTCAGTAAAAACTGAGCACAGAAGTAACATGTATTTATTTATTTATTTATAAATCAAATTTATACGCCGCCCGTCTCACTATCAGTGACTCTAGATGGCTCACAAATAATGTTTATGTTTAAATGTAAAGCTTTTCTTTACAAAATAAGTTCTTTCACACCCACACACATATCACACTGACCCACAGCTTGCTTAACCATGGTTTACAGACCAAAATAAATTTGCTGTATTGACATGAGATACAAACTTTAGTCCCCAATTCACACAATTTACTAATATGGCTTATAGCAACATGTGAACCCAACCAGACACACATCCATTCTTTTCAGTTTCAGAGGATAATTACTAGTTTACACAGTGTCCTTACAATATAAAATGTGCTATATTGTTTCCAGGACTATTTATTTATTTCTATGACAGCATATAAATATTCAGCCTTGGATTCATCTCAAACTTTAATATTTCTTTAAGAGTTTTGTGCAACCTGGAAACATTCTGATATATTAAATGACAAATGTCTAATATGAGAGCCATTTTATTTTGAAAGATTCTCACAAAATATCAGAAGTACTTATAAGAAGATTCTGCTCCTGCTGATCCTGAGGAAAAAGTGAGTAAGACATTTCCAACTTCATTATCATGGAAACATACTCATTTCATTCAATGATGTCTCAACAGATCCTTTATTGCAACCTCTCCCCCAAAATGTTGAATTATAGATTATGCTGATTGCCTTGTTTGTTGCCTAGATCAACATACAAGCAAATCTTGGCAAGCATTTGAAATAATTCAGTTAATTCTTTGCAACACAGTACCCATCAACAGCTGTTAGCATCGATAGACTATTTAGATTGTGAATAAATATGAAAATAATCCAGTGTTACAAAATGCACAGGAATATTTTGATTTCCTTTATTTTTTAAAGAGGTCCCCAAGGCATAGATTTATCACCATATAATTCTGTCAGCTGAATACTATTTGCTTTTATGAGGTTGTAAGTCTGAATTACTAAGCACCTTTGTTCTAATAGTATATCTGGATTATTGGTTGCTTTTGGATAAAAAGATAATTTCATAGTCAAACACAGTCTTCCAGCAATCCTGAAGTAAGGACAGTAATACAGAATTAAATGATAGCAACCTAAGTCACTTAATTCTACATCCTACAAGAGTCAAGACACCCTCCAGAATTCATATTTTGGAACAAAGAACCCTGCTTGTTTTACGTTTTCAAGAGAATGCTGAACATTAAGAAGCATCGAAGGGAAATTCTGATCTTCAGACACTGCACAGACACACAACCCAAAGCTCCAGGACTTACATTTGTCACCAAAAGTCCAGTCTCTAAAGATTTTTGAAAGTTGTTACCAAATTGTCAATTTCTTGCTACAGTCACGTTAAAAATATTACATATATATGACTAGACAAACAAATGTATTAACTATGCTGAATTTAAATGCAAACAGGAAGGTTTGCCTCAACCAATACTTTTTGGAGTACATCCCACTGATGTGGAAGAAGATGCATATCACTGCACTTGACAATATATATGAGGAGGAGGTAGAAGATAAAGGGTGTAGGTAGGGCCATCTGATACATGTGGGCAGGGACAAGATTTTCCTTTTCTTAATCCTTTGGGAAAGAGTTTGTGGTTGTTGTTTGGGAAAAAAATATGTTCAAATATAATAGTTTCCATATATTTTCTCTGTTTCACAACGGCAGGAAACTCTGCCATTTGTTTTTGACAGCTAGAGTCAGAAAGAGCTCCCGAGAGCACAAAAATGGTTTGCGGGATTCCACGCAGCCCCGGAGATGCATGTTGTCTATCTCTGTCATAACCAGAAGAAGATGGTATATACTTCAGCTAGAATGACACAATGCATGTTGCTACAGTATTGGCAAAAACGATCAGGAGGAGAGCCATTAGACTTATCAGCAGTGAAAAGGAAGCATTTGACAAATACTGGAAATGAAGTGAGGTGCTAGTCTGTAAGACAACTTTCTCCAGTCTGATACTCTTCATTTTGATCATAGTCAAAATTGTGGGAGTTCAATTAACCAGATTAGAGAAGGCCATTCTAAAGGACTGGTGAATTATTAGTAGCTGCAGAAAGGGAAAACGACTGTTATCTTTTCTAGAAATGATTTAATAGAACTTTGGATCTTAATAAACAGATGGTTTTATTTTCAGTTTCAGGAACTATCATTATCATTACTATAAAAGGGAGAGGCCTAATAAACAGTCCCAGCCCATTATACATATATGCAGAAAAAAGTTTTCCATGTCATTGGCAGTCATCTGCTTAGTAGGGAGGAGAAATGAAAAGCCAAATACAGCACGTACACAGAGTCTCCCTCTGTCCTCGTACGCACTCTCTCAATGGCAGCCCAAAGTGCCATCCACTTTGTCTCCATGTTTCTGATGGGGTTACATGAGCAAAACTGAAAGCCTTATGAGAAGGTACACTTATGAGAAGATACACTCTGTGAACTGAGGATATCCCATAGTGCAACGGGAAAGATGGTTTTCATGTACCCAGCTTGACTCATGTATTGAATCGTGAATTACTCAAGCCCATTTTCCCTAGTTTACTGTGTTGTAACAACTTGGGCACAACACTTTCTTATGCTGTAACTCTAATTCTTATTGAGATTTTCTCTACAATGTGGACAGGAAAGGAAGAATTCTGAATGTTTCTCCTTCCTGAAGGAAATGCAACAAATATTTTCAGATGTATAACATTCTGTCCTCTTTACCATCTAGCCAGTTATCAAAACTGGCCCCTCAGCTGTTTGCTGAAACTAGTGTGTTTATGAAGAATATTTATCTTAGGCTCACTCATTATTCATTTTTTGGAATTTTAAGTATGCTTGACTTCATGTTATTCATCAAAAAGTTTGAGAAATCTTTAAGCCTTTCACAACCTGATGAAACAGAGAAAACAATACCAACAAGAGTTTCTTGTTCAGAATCATAAGGAAACACAAAATTATAGAATACTTTTTTTGACTAAACAGTGACTACAGATTATCAACAAATAGTTCTTCAACCATTCAGTTGGAAAATGGGTCAGCAATGACAAGATAGCTTTTCATTCAGGCACTGGAAGATACAGTTGCATTTTGCCTATTCCTGCCAGCTTGCATTTTCATCACTGCGTTTTCACTGATTTTTTTCTTTCAGTAATTTGGCAATTTTCATAATTCCCAAACTTCAGGGTTATTTGATCACCAGACTCCCACTGCTCAAATACCATCAGTTGTTAAAGCGTGTTTAGTAGCTTGCAAAAGAGTCTAGCTAACAAAGGCTGATTGCAAGGGATATGTTATTTATCAAAATCTTTCTGACCAACAAAATCCCCCCTCTTCCTTAACGGATCACATTTTGCATAGGAATGATCATCTGCCTAATATGATGCAATAAATGTGACTTAGCTGATGCTTATATTAGCAATGGGACCATGAACATGAAGACAGTCTAAACAACATATCGTACCAGAAATCATAACAGAAGTGGCTTAACTAGCTGCTTAGGAACTTACCACTGCATAACTCAGGTTTCAGGACATGTTGCTGAACTTAGTGAACTTGCTGCTAATTATAATGTTGATTTTGCTGACATCTCTGTATTTCTTCATGACAGGTAGTCCTTGCTTAATGACCACAATTGCGACCAGAATTTCCATTGCTAACAATGCAGTTGTAAGGTAAGATGTCACGTGACTGCTTTGCTTACCAACCGAAATCCCAGCACTCCCAGTTGCCATCATTAACCGAGAATCGTGGGTCGTTAAGCAGAGGGAGTTGCAGGTAAGGAGCGCAGGGGTGCCACAGCGAGGTGGGGGAGGCCCTGGGAGGCCTGGCGCAGGCTGCGCACAAGTTGGGGGGGTGCTGCAGTGTGGCACAAAGCCGCAGCCACCCCTGGAAGCCTCAGCCACCCCAGCCTGGCCCAGCAGCACTTATGACTGCAGGGGTGCTGCAACTCCCCCACCTGCCTATCTCCCCCCCCCATCTATGCCCTTTTGGCCGCCCTGCACAGCAGCACTCTGCGGCAGCGCCCGGGGCCTTCAGTAGACCCAGCCAGCTGCTACTGCCCCAGGTCTCTACTTCAGCCCCAGTGCCACCACTGCCACTGAGAAGTGCTGCCTCAAGCCCCACACAATGGCCAGCCACCCCAGCACCATCGCACAAAGCCCCAGTTGCCCCTGCTGCCCTGTGTTCCACAGGCTCTGCCACGCCCAGCTGACCTTCACTGTTTTCCTCCTGCTGCTGATGAGGCATGCCTGGCCTGACCCTACTGTATGCGAGACAGCTGCTGGCCGTGCTGGGCCTTCTTCCTAAGGCTGCTTGGGCCTTTCTCCAAGCCACTTGTGCCATTCCTTCCCCAAATCATGTGCCCCACTCTCGCAATCCTTCAGAAACGTTTTGATCTTCCTCAGGTCTTGTGAGAATGGGTGCACTATTTGGAGAAGGAATGGGACGTGCAATTTGGAGAATAAGCTCTTCCGAATCACCACAAGAATGGGGCTCCTGCCGTTCTCCAAAGAGAACGGAGACGTAAAGATAACAGGAGAAAATATTCAGAGGAAAATAGTGTAGAGAAATTACAAAAAATAAGAGATGCCATGTGAAAGATATTGCCAAAGTAATTCAATATATAGTGGGTGTATATTGGGTGACAACTATTAGGGTGACTCAGGATGTAAATAATTAGGAATAGATGTAAGAGGGCTCTTTTTACAATTAATTGAATTTTCGATTAGATACGATATGGTGTTCAAAGTTTGTACAGAAAAAAGCTTAACCAAAGCATGTTTGTTTACAGCTTCCTCCCTGTTGTGATCAAAATTAACATTTAAAATGTACAAATGCACAGAGCAGAAAGCATTGGTAACTTGATAATATATTTGAGGAAGACTTGATCACTTCTCCACATAATGTAATAGTCAAATAGAAAAACTTTCATGAAAGGAACAAAAAGAAAATGTAAGAGAGGTGAATGCGAGCATCCTTGAGCAATCTGGCTTTGTATTTTCTCACAGTTATGTCTGCCAGGCTAACCATGGGAGAGTGTCCATGGTTGTATTGTCAGTGAAAAATCATGTATTATGTGTTTCCTTGTACAGTATAACTGAACTACAAAGGAAAATCCTCTGCAACATTCAGGTCTTCCAGAGTGGATGCTTTGGGTGGCCCAGAAAGTAACTTGATATAGAAAGAATTTCTGGAAGGCAGGAAGTTTGAAAATCATAATGTTAAATTAAGAGAAAATGACCAAACATTTGGGATAGATAAAAGTTAATAAATACCAGGATTACAACCACATTCCTAATATAATTGGGTCACAGTCCAGCTGGAATTCTGCTTGCACGGTCTCTTTCACAATCAACCTAGACTAAAAAAAAGTTCTAGGAAATCCTACAAGGCATGAAAACTAGACTGAAATACTTCAGACTAACTAACAGGGTGTTCTAATTATCACCAGCTTTCTTCTAGTCCCTTGTGTATACATTATAAATGCAAGAAGGAAATGCTAACTGTAGTTTTCCTAGGTCTTTATATTTAATGAAAATATATATAAAACAGCCTTCCAGAAAATTGGGACTACCGGTAGACCTTGCTTAATAAATGCTCTGTTTAGCAACCGTTTGAAGTTACCACGGCACTGAAAAAGTAACTTTACCACCAATCCTCGCATTTACGACAGTCGCAGCATCCTCGCGGTCACGTGATCAATATTTGTGTGCTTCACAGCTGGATTCCAACAAGCACTGTTATTATAAGAGTATATTATAGTCAACCCAAGAGAGGCCCACAAGGAAAACCTGAAGTCAACAGCCTCCTTCCCACTCTGGCTCCACAGCAACACACTACCTGGCATCATTAACAAGCTGATACATCTCAGTCCAATTTAGCTGGATAATTTATTTTTTTTTACTGTATGTTTAATTTTTTTAAAAACAGGAGAGTGGCTGGTGTGACAGCTATGGTATGAGAACTGCAGTAATCTGAATATCGATTTAGATATGTTAAACAGTGAATGGTTCATGATAAAGTCACTCTGTCTAGGAATGATGGTGATTTAGCTGCTCCAGAACTGCCTTAGTATTAACCTGCAGATGGTAGACTAACAGTTATCCAGGAAAGCTGGGTTGAGGGATGGCTTTTTCAGAACAGGGCGCACATACTGTTTTAAAGCAAGTGGCATTACTTCCTCAATCAAACAAGCATTCATCGTGACTTGAACCCAGTCTCTGGTCACCTCCTGGTAGCTTTCACAAGCAAGGTGGGGCAGGAATCCAATCCACAGATGACAGAGCTAGAATTCAGTATTGAGCCCTGTCCACTTCCTCAAGATCAACAGAATCAAATCCCAAATAACACTGCAGGACATCACCCCATCACCTCTACCAACTCTGTCCAACTAGCTTCCAGCTCTGATGAATGTGAGTAATTTTATTCTACAAATACAATTTGCAAGTTTATCACAGTTGCCAACCAACATTCCTGCAGCCCATCATTGCCTAACCAGGACTGTGGAATTCTAAACAACACTGGAGCAAGAGGTTATTCAGGAGCAATCATATCATGTGCCCTGGTTGGCCCTGTATCCCAGAATTTGAGCAGGTACTCAACCAAACTACTTGCTTCCCAAACTATTGGGAAAATCATAAATGCACCTGGGAAGGACCAACCATGAATCTTTCCTCTCTGTAGAAAGCAATGGCACAGAAAGGTCCACAGATACTAGAGTGATCCGACCACAACAAAAAACTGCTGGCAATATTCCCCGCTTCCAGATCACATCTCACCTGCTTCAAGATAAAAGCCAGATCTACTGCATCCTATGTAAGTCAGGTCCACAATGACCTGGAACAAGCATCTATGAAATCTGTGTCTATGAAATCATGAATTACCTTTGACTCTCTCCCCTTTACCTGAAGCAATGGTTTTTGCATATGTCTATGTTGGCTGTAAGAAGTACTGAATTCTCTGTTCGTACGTACCAGTGTGATTTCTCCTAATCCAAGCTGGGCCCGCCCCAGTGTTTGCCATGCTTCCCAAGAATGAGGATCTCTCTGGACAGCCATTTCTGCTGCCTGCACTGCAGGGAACATTTCATGCAGAGACATCAGAACCTAAGTGGAAAGAGGGAAAAAGAGCAAGACTTAAGCCAGGGTCAGGCATTATTTTACTTATTTAATTATTCAAACTTCTAAGCTGCCCAACTCCTTGATAATTCTGGATGGCTTACAAATAAAAAAAGGGGGAAAACATATGAAGAAGAAAATGGCCAACCAGAAGAACAAACACCTAGTCTTAAATTTAACAAAACTAAACTAACCAGAAAGGGCTATGCTACCACCTTGACCCAAGGCCTGGAAGAGAAACCAGGTTTTTAATAATTTATACAATTTCATAAAGGTTTTGATGACAGGAACTGCCCTTACTATTTTTGAAAGATAGGTTAAGGTCCAGTGATGGAAAGTAGACAGAGGCATTCGTACATGTGTAGAGAACTGATTTTTTTTTCCTTTTGCTTTTTTGGTGGGAGATTTGTTTTGTTTTCAAATAGAGCTAAGCCTGTTTTAAGGCTTAAATCACATTTCCCAATTTTGCTCTCAAATTTCTGTGATACAGCTGACTCTGTAAGGAGGCTGTAGGAGACACAACAAATGGATTCAGGATCTGTTTGTAGTTCTGGACCACAGGATATTTTCCCCTGCCCTCATCCAAGCTATGGTTTTAAGAAATTCAGTCTTCAAAAGCAAAGACAAAAAATGGTGGTGGAGATCAGAGGTGGGACTGCCCTTTATAAAGTAGGTAGATGATTTTATCCCCAACTGTCCACAACCTGATAACCTCCAAACATCTTGAAATTACTACTCCCAGAATTCTCATCCACCATGGGGATTTTAGTAGTTGTGATTTCAACATATCTACAACATATCTACAAAGCACCTTCGGGAAAGCTAAATTAGGCAGGGACCTCTGAGAAAATGCATCACTGAATTTCAAGCGATTTTAAAAAGGACATCTATCAAATTAATTATATTTGCTTTTGTTCTAATGCTTTCTAATTAACTATCATTCACACTCCTTCCCAAACCAGTATCATGTGAGAGTCCAATGACTGCTACTTATTAGTGTAAAATGCCCACCCAGGCACAAAAAGAAGAAACTATAGGATGAGGCTCAGAAGTTACCAATGCACAAAAAGATAATACAGGTCCATATAGCACTGGAGAGATTAGTAACAGAATGACAGAAAATTCTAGATGAGAAGATAGAAAAATTACAGGAGACCCTGGGTGTATTTTAGATTCATAAAATTGAAAAGTGATTATCAATTTAAATTTGATTTTAAAATATATGTAATACTTCACCCTTTAAAAAGTGAGTGTAATTAACAGAGTGCAAAAAAAAAAAAAACTATACTAAATTCTGTGTTTCAGTGAGTAACTCCTAAGATAATGCAGGAGCCCCACCTTCCTGATCCTAAAATTGACTACACCTTTGAGGTATCTTTATTTTTTTCTTTTTCCACTGACATCACTCTCTACATACATATCTCACCTTTTTGAGTCAATAAGTGACAAGCCAAGACAAACTCCACAATGGATTGATCTGTGCCCTGGGCAGCCTTTCTCAATCTTCCACATATATAGTTTTCAACTTCTAGGATTCCTCAGTTAGTACATATAGTCCTTGGTTAACAACCACTCATGTGGTACTTACAACCAGTCCTCAAAGTTCTGGCCATTCCAGCACCCCTGTGGTCATGTGATTGCGATCTGGGCACTTGGCAACCAGCTCACACTTATAGTGGTTGCAGCATCCTGCAATCACGTGATCGCCATTTGTTACCTTCCTTGCCAGCTTCCCAAAAGCAAAGTCAATGGGGAAGCCGGCAGGATGTTGCGAGGAAGTCCTTGCTTAATGACCCACAATCCTTGTTTAATGATGGCAACAGTGACTATGTTGCCAAGCACTGTGGTCATGTGACATCACGCTTTACAGCCACATCACTTAGCAATGGAAATCCCGGTCCCAATTGCTGTCATAACCTGAGGACTACCTGTAGTATCATTGCTGAGAAGTGAAGCCCACTGCAACTAGAAGGTGCCTAGATTGGAGAGCACAATCCTACTTAACCCTATCAGTTTTCTGTCTAAAAACTGAATTTGCATATTTTGTGGTCAAGAAATGTATCAGTATTGTGCAGCTGTCTGTAGTAGTATTACAGACAGTACAACAATTCAAGTACCAGCAGGTTAATCCAGACATTTTGTACCTGGCTCTAGAAACATCATTTTTTAGTTTCATGAAAACAGTCAATAAAACTCAGCCAAGTGACTTCATATGCCAAATGTGTATCAATTACTGAATTGTATAATGTGTTCAGCATTCAAATTATGACTGTTAGCATCTGGCTAGATCAATTTCCACCTCATGCAAAAATACACTGATCTATCACAACCAGCACACCTTATTTCTATTTTTTAAAAAAGGACAGAAGAAGAGTCAGATGCATAAACTTCGTTCTGTTTGTTCTCATCTCATCTGAAGATCAAACATAAAAGACGGGACATATGCTTGGAATGCTGGATACTCAAAGCATGTGGCTTGGCAGATCTGAGTCATTAATGTGTATTAATTCTTCCCATGTGACACCCGGAAGTGGGAACAAATGGGACCAATTACAGGATACTGCTGGTTGTAAAAACATAATGTGGGAAGCTCCTTCCAAGCCTTGTTTGTACATCATCTAGACCAGAACAATGAGTTCAAAAGTGCCCTCCTATGCATTATGCCCAAGATGGAAATTATCAGCAGCATCTGTAATAATAAATCCTCTTCTGGTCTTTCACCTTTGGTTGCAGGTTGCCTGCCCCATGACACAGATGCTACTGTTGACACAGAGTGTTTTATTTAATCTTTCACACAACAGATGGTGGATTTAAAGTTGCCCACTAATGAGAAATAATCCACTTAGTTCATTATTTGACTTACTACAGCACTAACATTATAGCCCAACATGATGAAAAGAGTCATCACACAACTCCATCTCAGGGATATGCAGTCATACCAAAAGTATATGCATGCATTATTAAAAACTCCTAACATAATGGCCAACATAAAGTTTCTATGAGTCATTTACAGAGCACTTATCAAGGCATGCAGAACCCAAGAGCCTTTTTAACTTTTACAAAAATATTAACATAAGAATCAGGCATGGTGATGTTAGAAAGAGAACAGTCACGTAGAACTCATTGCATGCCCCTCTGGACTGGAGCCATATCATCATAATTTAAACTCAGACTGGCTTTAGATGTTCCAAAGTAACAGCATGGAACGAAACACAAATCCCCTTCCTTCTGATATAGCATTCAGAAGGATATTAATGAGAAGAGGGTGATAAATAAATAGCTGCATATCCTCTTCATTCTCAAAGCTCCTTCACAAATTTTATGGGTTGGATGCTCTTTATTCCAGAAAAAGAGTATTTCCATTTGCTAGAGATTGAGTTCCAGGAATGATTTAGTATGGTGCTCTCATGCTCTTCTGAAGGGTCCCCTCAAGAACCTTTTCATGAGGTACAGGGAACAGAGGCATCAAAGCAAATCATCTCCCCACTGTTTCCTTTAGTAGCAGCACATAGCTCATTAATACTGGGAGTCAACGCTATAGACAGGGAGAAAAAGCAGAACTGAGCTAAGGCCAGATGTTTTTTTCAGTAGTTTTCCCAGCTTAGTGTTTTCTACAGGTGTTGGGTGACTATGGTAAGTTGAAATAAAAACTCTGGTTCGATTAGTTTTGCAACTGTATTGCCTCTGCTAAATACATTTAGGACCTTCACTGTGGAAGGTGGATGGGAAGAAAGAGGTGAGTGGAAAGCTTTAGAACAATATCAAGCTGCATACCTTGAACACAATAATCTGTTTAAACTATTGCAAAGATTTGTTTTCTATACAGATTTTACCTCGGGGCATAGAAATCATACTTACATCTTTCTACTTGATCTCACTCTTTTAGTTTTTGTCTTTTTCTTTTAGCTCTATCTTCTCTCTCTTCTATACTTTCTGATTTGTATTTTAATTGTATTTTTATATATCTTAATAAAAGTTTTGATTAAAAAAATCATACTTACATGTGTCATGTAGGTAAGATCAGGAGTTAAAACACTGACTAGCAGTAAAGATATGATTCAAACTGGAATTATTACCAATTTTAGGGGAAAAGATAAGAAAGAGGCCAACTACTGGAGAAATAGCTAAAAGAATAATGTGAAGATGTTGGCATAGGCAGTGTGGTTTAATCAATAGAAGACCTGATGCACGTATCTTAGGAACACATGTTCCTTCTGGGGCTATTCAACAGAACACTGTTGGCTTGTTTTTAATGGCTTATGACAGCTCTGTTACCAGCAGTTAATGGGGGCCTTACTGCTCTTTTTCTACACAAAATGGGAAAAGGGGATTGCCAACTATTTTCTTTCAGTAGTCAAACTTTTGGTACTCTCAAGTTACTCCCCACTACTTATTTTTCTTTCTTGCTGCTCATGCCCTAACAACCATTTCTCTGGGAGGGCAATAATGTATGCAGATTGTTTTCCCTGATATGAATGCCTAACTACAACTGGTTTCGACATGGTTTGTTGACTAAAACACAATTGGCTGGGTTCACATACTGCTTTAAACCGTAAATCACTGTTTATAAACTGCAAAGCCTGGGTTTGCATATTACACTACACCATCATATGGTTTTCAGACATGACTTAATGCAGTGAATATAACCAATCTATTTCAAAAGATGCTTTTCGAAACTCAAGAAACCACACAAGAAAAAGAATGTTAATTCTGTGCAAGTTGCTGCCAAAACTAAATTCTAAGGAATAATACATAATTGTACAATTGGTCTTGTTCTTCTATTTTTACCAGCTACATTATATTAAAATTATACTACGTAATCCTTGTTTATAAGCACCATTTTAGCTTTTGAAACTAGCTGTACTATATTTGTTTATGCCACAGTCTATGGCCAGTACAACTAAAAAAAGTCACACTTGCTTTTGCTGCAGAGAAATGGCCAACTGTTACCTGTGATTTCATCTCATACAGAGTGGCATCTTCAGGGGTTAACTGAAGTGCTTCATCCCATTTATGAACAGCTTCCCGGTACCTGCAAGAAGTAATTTATTCTTAATAAATTTATAAGTATTTTAAAGGTGGTTAGTTTGATCATTTTGCCAAATGTGTTTTAACTATTATATATTTGTGCAAATATCTCCTAAAAATACATGGTCTGCTGCATGAATTCATTAGTGAATGCTTCCCCCCCCCCCCCCCC